AGACAATGCAGTAAAAGTGCTACACTCAATATGCCAGCAAATTTGGATTACTCAACAGTGGCCACAGGATTGGACAAGGTCAATTTACATTTCGATCCCAAAGAAGGGCAATGCCAAAGAATGTTCAAAGTACCGCACCACTGCACTCATTTCACATGCTAGCAAAGTGATGCTCAAAATCCTACAAGCTAGGCTCCAGCAGTATGTGGACTGAGAACTACCAGAAGTACAGGCAGGATTTCGAAGAGGGAGAGGAACTGGAGATCAAATTGCCAACATACGCTGGATCATGGAGAAAGCTAGGGAGTTCCAGAAAAACATCTACTTCTGCTTCATTGACTATGCTAAAGCCTTTGATTGTGTGGATCACAACAAATTGTGGCAAGTTCTTAAAGAGATGGGAGTACCAGACCATCTTAGCTGTCTCTTGAGAAACCTATATGTGGGTCAAGAAGCAACAGTGAGAACTGGACATGGAACCACTGATTGGTTCAAAATTGAGAAAGGAGTTTGGCAAGGTTGTATACTGTCACCCTGCCTATTTAACCTCTATACAGAGCACATCATGAGAAAGGCAGGGCTAGATGAATCAACAGTTGGAATTAAGATTGCTGGGAGAAATATCAACAACCTCAGATATGCAGATGATACCACTCTAATGGCAGAAAGTGAAGAGGAACTAAAGAGCCTCTTGATGCGGGTGAAGGAGGAGAGTGCAAAAGTTGGCCTGAAACTCAAGATTAGGCAAACTAAGATCATGGCATCCGGTCCTCTCACTTCCTGGCAAATAGATGGGTAAGAAATGGAGGTAGTGACAGATTTTATTTTCCTGGGCTACAAGATCACCGTAGATGGGGACTGCAGCCAAGAAATTAAAAGACACTTGCACCTTGGGAGGAAAGCTATGGCAAATCTAGACAGCATACTGAAAAGCAGAGACATCAGCCTGCTGACAAAAGTTCGTATAGTCAAAGCTATGGTTTTCCCAGTTGCAATGTATGGCTGTGAAAGCTGGACCATAAGGAAGGCTGAGAGTCGAAGGATTGAGGCCTTTGAATTGTGGCTCTGGAGGAGACTCCTGCGAGTCCCTTGGACCACAAGGGGATCAAACCGGTCAGTCCTAGAGATCAACCCTGATTGCTCTTTAGAAGGCCAGATAGTGAAGATGAAACTCAAATACTTTGGCCACCTAATGAGAAGGAAGGAATCCCTGGAGAAGAGCCTAATGCTGGGAACAATAGATAGCAAAAGAAGAAGGGAACAGCAGAGGATGAGGTGGCTGGATGCAGTCACTGAGGCAGTTGGTGTGAGCTTAAGTGGGCTCTGGGGGATGGTGGAAGACAGGAAGGCCTGGAGAAATGTTGTCCATGGGGTCACGATGGGTCGGACACGACTTCGCGGCTAACAACAACAACAATAATGGGACTCAGAGGCTTATGTGCATCCAACACACACCGGATGCACAAGGCATGTTGGCAGCTACCTCATGCCCTGCTTTTCATCCAGACAGCTGTTTTCAGCTATCTAGATGAAGTGCCCCAAAGTAGGAGAGGAGGAGGCTGAGCTGGTGCTTGGATATGCTGGAAACGGCCAGCCCCAGACGCCTCCATTCCATGCACCCAACCCCCCATCATGCTTTCTGTCTGGCCCTGGACAGGCAGCCAGCATTGTATTTTCCACGCCATGAATGTGTGGGACGGGGCTCCGTGTTGAGAACCAGCTCCAAAGTGACAGGACCTCAGAGCTGGCGCTCCAGATATCCCTGTGACTAGCTATGTGTAAGGAATCTGGTGTAGGACTGGGAATTCATCAGGTTTTCCTGGCTCAGCTCCCGCCTCTGGCCCGCACTCTCTCCGCCCAAAGCCTGCCTCAGTCATGCCCATTCACGTGGGCATCCAGAAGAAGGGAGCCCAAGAGAGTCTGGCTTGCACACACACCACCCCTGCACCTGCTGTAAGTGGAGATCAGCTTCTGCAAATGTGACTTGCAGCATTTCTATATTTTGCGCAAGGAAGCTGCTGGTCTTCCCAAGCATTTGTGGACTTGATCTTGTTTCAGCTGACTTCCTGGCTGGGGCCAAGCATGGGAAAGAAGTCCAGCAAGCGATGGAAGCTTTACATCCCTACCTATAATCCCCCCAAGGTTTTAGAATGGAGATATAGAAAACAGTAAGAAACTTTAATGTGCAAGCAGTGTAATTTTAAAGATTAGATGTGTGCCTTGTACCTTAGACTGCTTTCACCATTGCCTGTTGCAACATTTAATGTCTCATTTTAATTTTCCCCTCATGGTCTTTTTGAACTATATACTATAGAAAATGAGAAAGGAAATTTAGACAGAAAACAGTATGATATGGCTAGTTTGTGGAAAGCTCAATGTCTCTTATCTTTGTACAGGTATGTTCAGAAACTATGAGAAAACAATTACTAAAAGGTGTTGATTTCCTGTAACAAAGCTCAGAAGTGAAACCCTAATGAGGGAAACCAGCTGTGTATATAGTTTACTTTTAATATGTCCTGGGACAGACAGCAGGAGAACATCTCTGTGCAGCCTACCCCCACAAAATGCATGCAGCATTGCCAAGGCATAAAGTATAAACATACCTAAGATCAGTCTCAGTGATTGTGTCTCCCAGGCCACCTACATACAGGGTTGTAATAGTCTTGTCATCAGGCGGGTCAAGACGAGGCATTGTGGAAGCTCGTTTGAGAAGTTTGTCAGCCACAGGATCATTAATACCATAGTAACGATCTTTAATGTTCTGATCAGCAAGAGGATCATCTGGATCTGTAGGTTTCTCATGTCTAAGGGGCCAAAAGAAATACTCTGTAACATGTGTCATTAGAAAGAATACCTTATCTGTTTTTTTAGACTAAAGGGCTTCTGATGATGATGTAAAGACAGTATGACATATCAAACAGTTAATGTATTTTTAGATTATTGCTGCAGAGAGAATTTGCAAGTATCTGAGATGAAATCTTCAGAAGTCTCTCTCGGGATCATTGTTCTTGGTAAATATTTGTTCAGGAATTATACCCATACTAGTATCTGCACCTTCTTTTAATTAATCTACATTATTTTCATCTTACTGTGGCTAAACACCTGCTTCCTTGAGACACCTGAACTACATCATCAGATTCACCTCTTCAGCACAATTATACCTGTAGGGACACTCTTCTCCTCTTTTGCACTCTCCTTTCACCCAGAACGAACAGATATGGGGGCGATTACGTTTGTAGTACGGGGTTGTCCGAGCGAGTTTGAGCAACATATCACTGGTGGATGTTGCCTTCCCTAGAGCACCCACAGGCCGAGTGCCATCAGAGTTCATGATCTGATGAAAGAAATAAGCAAGTAGACTCAGAGAAACTGAGCAGAAGAGTCACATCTCAATTATCTTTCTAATTTAATTTATGGTATGAATTAAGCAAGAAAGAATTTCTTCAGGTACCTCTCTTTCCATATTTTGGGTGTAATATTCTTTATTAACATCTGACTTCGGCATATCATCTTTAAGTGAGAGTCCGGCATCTCGAACTTGAATAGGCAAACCTAATATTTAATGGGGAGAATCCACAAATTTAGTCTAAAGGCAAAAGAACTAAACAGTTATTGCCACAAGTGCGGCTAAATGTAGCTAAGCAAGTAAAGACACAGTTTTTGATCTTGTAAACACTGCATCAAAGGAAGGAAGTACACTAAAAAAATTCCAACTCTTATTAAGATGTGCAAACTTTTTAACCTTGGCAATTTTCTACCTTCACTGTGACCTGCTATAGCTGGGGTAGCAACTGCCAGCTCTCCAAAGGATTTGGCCTACAACTCTCATCATTCCTTACCACTGACTTTGATGGCTAGGGCAAATGGGAGATGTAACACAGAACATCCAGAGCATTTTATTTATCAAATTAATCATGTGTGCCACCCGTCACCCTATTAAGGATTAGTTTTCTCCTTTGTAACACCAAGATTTTACTTTGTTTACCTTATTTATACTCTTGGATGCTTACATGCCCCCCAATTTGCAACATGCCTCATGTCACACAAATCCTTGCTACTCTAAAGGGACACTGCAACTCCCAACAATTTGAAAATCGTTACAATTTAGTAAGTACAAGCTGAGTCATGAGACTTTATATACGGAGTAGCCTTTGGATCTTATTTGTAGCCTCAAATGGAACTTATCTGCAGAAACACTACCTTTCTAGGAGCCAGAAACAACAAAAGAACTTGAGGCAGAGGGAGCCTGCTGTACAGCATCTTTTCCAGTTGGGAGGGATTGGTTGGAGTGGAGTTTAGGGAAATCAGATCTGAGAAAGCTACTGAGAGCTTATTAGTAGGGAAGTCTCTCTTATTAGGAATGGTAACCAAGGATATAATTTCAGCCCATTTAAGCAATCTGAGCCATTACATTATTTATTATGTAATTATGAAAGCCACCTTGTACTCCTTTAAGGGAAAAAGATGAGACATAAATACAATAAATATTATTTCAAAAATAAACTCTATTTCCTTGTGTATATAATTCCACAATTAGCATCTTAGCTTTTTCATATTGTTACTAGTGATTGTGTCCATCCATATATAATATACAGAGGATTGCTTTTGGTGGCAGAGTTTTGCAGTTAATTTTTTAAAAAATAGCTGAGACAAGCTTGCAGCAGGGAATTTCAAGACCCAAAGCTTAAAGTTTGCACAACGCAAGTACAGGTGGGAAACTGTCATGTTTTTCTACCTCTGGGGATACAGATGGGACATCACAGTTGCTGGTAAGGTTGGGATAACTAAGGCTGCGTCCACTACATGGGGCAACAATGGTAATTTTGTATCTGGCAGTTATAGCAGAAGGAGAACTACTTGCCATATTCCAGGTCAAGAAGGCAGGTCTGACACACATTCTTCAGTTTGCTACATGTTTGACACACTTCTGTCTTCTTAAAGCGCATCCGTACACCCGGGCACCAGCGAAACACTGTGAATGGCCTGGCACAAATCTGAGACAAAGACTACAATGATATGTACCAGTCTAATTTAAGCAAATAAGATGCATGTGTTACACACATAACTAACATTTCTTCTAAATACTTTTCAGACAGCATCACTACACACATTCAAAACAAAAGACAAGCAATTCTGGGAAAGCCCAGTAAGGAGTTGATTACAATGCATTAATTATTTTTAAGACAATGGCATTTACAATATCCACTGGGGAAATGAATGTGAACTAACCTATGCAACCCTGCCTGTACAAAGTCCATAATATTAATGAGAAAAATATTTTACTTTCCAAAAAGAATTGAGCATAAGACACTCTTATTCAATAATTACTGAATATTTATATTATTCAATAATGATTTTGTTGCATTAACCTAGCATCGCTGTCATAAAAACATTCCATTGTTTTTGCTGAGGGAACTAAACTATATGAGTAAGATTTAACATTTATCCTTTGGGGCTAGGACACCCAATTCTCAGGAGATGTATTTATTCTTCTTTTAGATTGGTGTGGGCAACACATGGCACTCCAAATGTCAGCCTACAATTCTCATCATTCCTCACTGCTGGTTATGCTGGCTAGAGACGTTTTAGATACTATTACCCTTTCAAACATTGCTACCTCTAAAATTATCTCCTTTCAGTGACAAACATACCTTACATTCCTTTCCATATTTCTCTTTGGTCTGGAATATAGGAAAAAAGCATGTTACAAAAAGTACTTGTCTTCAAGACAATAAGCTTTTTAAAAATCAAGATTCCTTCATTAAATCCCACAACTCCACCTCTGCAGTACATGTTAACCAATTTTAATATGAACACCATCAATTAACATTGTCCTAAGGAACAGAAGGCAATTTGCTTTCCTTTCCTATCACAATGACATGAAAATAAGAACATGCAAGGTTCCCTAAATAGATCTAGAGAAATATCACTTAAATAGCTCAGATTTCCATGGAGACTGAAGAGCACAGCTATACAGCAAAGAACAATTTATTTTATAGATTTCCAATTCCTTCCAAGTTTCCCACTCATTCAAATGGAAGAGGCAGCTTCTCAAAGGAGACTGCACATGGCACGGCTCCCTCCATCAGTTATCATGGGCAAGCCCACTCACATAGGAACTGAGCTTGTGCATCAAAGCTTTGGCTCAAGGCATGTGAAGAATACAGTAAAGATCATTCTTACTGTGACCATGAAAACATAGATGAGCCGCAGCAATACATTCATTTCTGTGTGGTCTTTAACCACTTACCTGGTTGCCACTAGCAGCCAGGAATTCCTTGCCAGAGAGTGAGTGGAATTCCCTCCAGGTAAGTGATTGGGGCTGCTGGCAAACAAGGCCAGAGTACCTGTTTTGCCAACCTGATTGGCTTCTATACTAGCCATAGAATAATCCAAACCATAGAGGCAAAAAAGGCTGGCGGCTCTGGCAAAAATACAGAAGTCAAACAGAAAAGGATATGGAAAATATACAAACCAGTTGGGCTGATGAAGAAGGGACAGCGCATACTACTTTGCCATCCCCAAGCCCAGAGAGCTGAAAAAGTGGAGAATTTGTCCCTGCTTCAACAGCCCAATCAACTTCTGTACAAATATTGACCAAGCTGCTTTGTCTACCAATTCTTCATCAAAAGAAGATGATAAATGTGGCTGCATCTGGCTCGGATGGTGCTTCCAGGCAGTGCAGCACAATGGTAAATACTTAAAATAGGCAAAGATAGAGAAAAGGATCTCTTTCCTACATCACTGACTTGTAACTGGTGGAGAAAAAGAACAGAGTAATTAGAGCAGCAGAGGAAAAAGAGATAAAGTACTGTGTAGGGGGTTACCCCTCCTTTTTACTAGTCTGCTTAATATTCATACATGTAGCCCTTCATATAAAAAAAGCACTCAAATCATTTTTTTCAAGCTAGTAACTCTGTGGGGTTTAGTGACAAGACTGGTTTGCTTGGAAACTGAACCAATTTCAGCCGGATTCAAGGTTAATTATACATTGGCGTCCCTGAAAAACGAATAGCCAAGATGCTTACTAAAATGTTCACCTCACAATAGGGAATCTTTTATATAAACTCCTGCCAAAAATACTAGACTATATTGCTTAGATGTATACACTGATTAAGCAATCAATTCTAAATATATTTTTTATAAGCAAACCTCACTACTTGTAGAACACATGCTTTACAGTTGTTAAGGGGACTTAATATTTGCAGGTTAGTATTCTGTATTTATTTTAGCAAACTTGTACTACATCTCAATAAAAACATACCATTCGGATATAAGGATTTTCTCCAAGACATGTCTGACACAAAATAGGGAAATCCTAAACAAAAGAAAATGAATATTTTTCAAGAGTATAATAATACCACATTCCACCAGAACCTGAATTATAATCTTCATAGCTTATGTCAGTAAAACACTGTTGTAATGAGCACCAACTCATCTCAAGCAAATTGTTTAGTGTACCTGATGAATGGAAACGGGATTCAAGTATTTTTTTACATTTTTGGCTCACCAAAATGAAGGTGCACTGAACACACAGAGTCATTCCATAGTGGAGGTAGAGGAAGTGCAAGCTTTAAAAAATGTCCAAATATATGTAGAAAACCTTGCTATTCTAAAAACCAGAAAATTTATACACTGGCTTTTGGGCAATCATGGAGAACTTACAGTGCACATGGCAGTGTGATGCTTGTTAAGAGTACCAACATCTTCTACAACAGCCCAGCTGTCACAATAGCAAAAAGAGTGCTAAAGGCCAAATCCCTATTTTTCCCCAAGTCTCCTGTTTTCTTCAGTCAGTAAGAGAGAAAGCACACTCTGACATCCAAAGGCTGCAATATGTTCTCATATATTAAGTGTACAGCTTTCAAATAAGAATAAGCCAGCAATGCAACACATCTTCCTAACTACAGCTTGCCAAATTAAGAAAGCCACATCTAGAACGAGCTGTGTAACGTTGCGTGCGGCGTCCGCTGGGTTAAATTACCCTTTCCAAGACCTTAATTTAAAAAGATAAGGGCGGAGAGAGACTAGAGCAACGCGCAGTTTATTACGCGAGATGAACAGAGAAAGCCAGAAAACGCAACATCTTTACGCCCCCTTTATGGAGGCCATCGCTCTGGCCTCTGTCCACTTTCCGACACCCCCAGCTCCTGCCCTGCGACTTCCTCGGCTCGACAGGGAACAGAAACCCGCGCAGCCGCGGAGCAACCACACGGCAACGGACTTCGTTTCCCGCGAGGGGACAAAGACGGGAAAGCTCCCCGGAGCCGCCTGCCACAACGAACAAACGAGCCGGCTGCCCGGGGAGGCATATTCTTACCGCATCCTCCCAGTTCTGCCGATTGTACGTGTTGGATCCCAAAGACGTCGCCATCTTGGTCTTCCGAAAAGCGGGGCCCGGAAGTAGACTTGTACGTACACCGGAAGGATCGGTCGAGCGTTGGCCGTAGAACTAGAGCAGTAGAGGATCACGCCCGCCTCCTGCCTTGATGTTCGGAAGTTCCGCTTTCACCCGGTCGAGGGGTCCACATTTGGTCGTGCGCCGGCGTGAGCCGGGAATGCCAAAACGCCTGCTAAGGTGTGTTTTTCCGCAGAGCGTGACAGATTGTGACTGGGCAGCGGGCGGAGGCAGTACCAGCAGTTTCCAGCACTACTGAATAAAGTCCATCCTTACGGCCGCTGCCGCCATTGAATTAATTAGATCAGCCTTACTCCAACCTGCTGTCCTCCAGGGCGGAGAGGGTTCCAGGTCGGGGAAGGCCGTATCAGGGATTCGTGAGGACATCATTTAGTGAAAGATTATTTTAAAACTGCAAAATAGGAATAACTGGAGAGTGTCCAGGCTGCAACTCCATAACGCGTTTTTCTGGGAGTAAGTTTCATGAAATACAGCGGACATGCTTTGTGCATAAATGTTTGGAGATTGCACTGTAAAGCTGTAATTCTGTAGACACTTTCTTGGGAACATTTCCTATGGAACGCAAATATACTTTTGAGTAAAGGGACAATCGATGCACGTTGAGACAGGAAATAAGGCATACAATTCGCTGCAGTTCCCAGCCATCAATTGGGCTTTAGGCACTTTGCCTCTGTCTAAACATGGATAGGAGTTTGCTCTTATTTTTATTATAAGAAGACCATAATAAGCACACAAGGCTATGTAGTTAATCCTAAACAAAGAGTTGCTGGTCTTTTTTACTGATTAATCACGCATCGGATTGTGCCTTTGTTACGATATAATCAGGTTTTCAGAACCATGTAGCTTGCTTACAGAGCAATGGTACGCATTGTGACTTAGAAGCGGGTAGCCTCGTGTTCAACGAGTCTCATGGGTTAGTATGTGTAAGGCGGCAACCTTCAGGTATATCTCACCTCCGCCTTTTGTAGCAACCTCGAGGCGGCTTACAAAAAAGCGAACCTCAAGAATGCAAGCCAACGGGGGTCGACAGTAAGCCGCACGGGCTTGGTTTTCGCATCCTTCTCAGCGCGCTTCTCTGACTCGCCACGTCGCGAGCGAGTCGCGAGTTGCAAGATGAGAAAAGGCTCAGCTTGCTTGTTTTAAAGGACATTTTTCATTCAAAACACGACCCGGCGTAGAAGGAGCACGAATTCGGCTTCTGTTTGCCTCGAGCTTTTATTTCTGGGAAGAAAACAGAAAGGACGACTCCCTCGGTTTGCTATTTTTTTCTAAGGGCTGCTCTAAGGAGGAATGGCTTCAAACGTAACTCAGAAGCTGCCTCTAGAACGAGAGCCGCCCCAGGTTCAGGCGGCCTGCGTCCCCGGCCACGCCGCTCTTCCTCGTGTCTCTATGGCCCTGGGGTGGACCTGGTGTGTATAGCCAACCCTGAAGTCACACCTCTGTGGTTCTCTTCCCCACGTGGGTTGCCTCGGGGGCCGATGGCGTTCCATTCGTTTTCTTAGCGCGCCGACGAGGCGCTTCCCTGCGGAAGTCCCAGGGTCGTGGCTCTTGTTCTTCTCGAGAGTGGATAGTGTATCGTCGTCCAGAAGGTGTTGGACTGCAGATCCCCTTGGTGCTCGCCAGCACAGCCAATGGTAAGCGACGAAGACAGTTCAGCAACTCTATGGCAGCCTCTCTCCGGTTGATAGCCTTCAAATGGTTTGGAGTATGGCCAATGATCAGAAATGTTGGGAAGTGCAGTCCAAAGCATCTGGAGGGTACAGGTTGGGAAAGGCTGCTTTCCGGAGTGAGTAGGAAGCTGTGGTCTTTTTTCGTCCAATTAGAAATCACTGCATTTAGTTTTCCTGCTTCTGGAATTTTTTTGTGATAATGGAAGGTTTGGACGTCTCCATTTTGAACTTCAGCTCTATAGGCTTGGGGTGCCTCTCACCACTTCCAAGTTTGCCCCTTAGTGCCACATGGCTGGATCTGGGCAGCAATTTTACGCTTGTAAATACATAATATTGTGGCTCCTTCTGTTCGGAGCATGTTTTCCCTGTTCTAAACTGTCCATACCATATGCCTGTGAAAGATCAGAGAAAAGGAACAAGCAGCAATGCATCCACACTTTCCATGTTTTTCCTCAAGGATCACCTTAGATAATTTTGCATATCCACCTATGCCTCCGCAAGCTGCCTGTACTGATTACTGGGTCTAGCCTGCACAGCTTGCTTTTGCAGGACAATTTTGCTTACACCAATGTGTTTTGTTTGGGGTTTCTGTTTTTGGGGTTGTGTGTGTGTTTTTTTTTTTTTTGGTTCAACCTTACAAGGCTATGTGCACTTGTCCCATTAAACACTCTTGAGCTCTGCTAAGTGATATTGAAATGAGTCTTCATCCTGCCAGATGCCTTCATTTCAAGCTTAGCAGGGTGTAGCATTAGACCATGAAGCCATATTTGGCTTAATCAAAACTTAAGCAAACTCAAGTGGTCTAGTTCCAAACCCTGTTTTAAACCCCTTGCTGATCAATTGCTTTAAAAATACATACAATTTTATCTCTCAGATTTAACCGATATAAACACATACTTATCCAACAGTGCTGAAGGATCAAATTGCTTCCAGACTTTTTCCAATGCCAAACTTCTCCAGCGTCTGTTATAAACCCTTATTTATGGGCACAACAGACATTTGAAATTGCTTCATTATTGAATCTACCCAGTCTCACAAATCATAACATTATACTGCAAAAATAACAGTTCACAGATGTTTAAGATCATAGTGACATTCATTTGCCTTCATTTCACCTTAAACACTGGTACTAGAGTTGGACAAAAATACACAATGAAGATATAGGTTTGCATCTTTATTTCAAGTTTCTTACATTAAGTTAAATGATAAGGCAAAAACAGTCATTAATATTGATAAAGGCAGAGTGTTTCCAGTGTCCTCTACTGAGGAGCCAGTGAGATGTTTCTGCAGAAGTGTGTGGAATACATCTTAACAGTTATTCCTATACTCTAAAATGTTAAAAGAAAAAAAAAAGCCTCCAAAGTATATCCAGCTTTCCTATACACTTTACAAGAAGCTTAAGTGTACACCACACCAGCACAGCAACGTCTCAACTCTATTAAGTGAACTTCCAAAAGGTTTGGCTAAGAATTAGCTTAGAAGTTAAATCTGGGGTTAGAGTTGGAGTTCTTTATAAACTGAGAGTAGCAGACACTAAACACTACACATCTAAGAAAAAACACAGGCTAGACTTATATTCATGCTTTACATTGTGTATAGTCTTCCCAAGCCTGTGAACACCGAGCTCCTTTTGTTTTTTACACCCATTGCACAAACTGGAAAATAAAGTGCAACCTTCATCCATATGCTGCCAAAGAAATGGTGACTATTCAATATACCTTCAGACAACTTACATCTACAAGGAAAACATTTTCTCCAGCCATCTTCAGTGCATCTCCCTATTTAGTATATGTATTCAATATGCATTTATTTCTCTTGAGTTACAGAACAGGCAGTCATTTTGTACTATGTGCCTGTTACCAACAGTTTGCAATCATGTGATCTTCATATAACCCCATTACTCTCAAGTTATAGCTTACAACTCCCATTCAAAGAATACCTCCATCTCTTGCTTAGTCTGGGAACTGTAAGCAGAAGAAGCAGTTTGTCAGGTTTCATTGCTTTTTTCCTCAGTAATCTAGCAAATAAAGATCTGAGAAATTTTGTGTCAGAACATGTTTGTGTATAATATTAGTGGCACTGAAAAACTGTACTTAAGTCACTGCTTGAAGTTTAGAAGTAAGATCAGGGAATTACATAGTTTACAACAATTTATTCCATGTGTTATGGCAACCATTCTATTATGCCTGTGATGGTATGGAAATTCAGACTTAAGTACATTCAGTACAAAAATGCACAGTGGGTACTGGTAGCTCCTTTCTCAAGAGGTCTTCAATTTCAAGTGATCTTGCTCTTCAAAATCAAATCTCTTTGGTAGATAAGACATTTATTTAGGAATAATATAATAGAAACAGTAAGACCTGCCTCTTGTCGCGATCCCTAAGTGGCACCTCTGCATCAACTAAAGCAGCCTTTTGATTTATGGACTGCCCTATGTCATTCCATTCTAAATCAGCATTTTCAACATAAGAGTGGTAGAAATACTGAGCCCTTCAAAACTGCAGGATCCTAAGATGGCCTTTTTCTTAATCACCTTTCCCAAGTCAAGCTGTACAGAACATGAGACCATCCCACAAAATACCAACATTTCATACATGAGTCAAAGACCAATGAGTGCTGTCTGAAAATGATGATCTGTCCAAAGAAGCTGAAAGCAAGAGCATCTCATGCTGATACGGATGGCTACTTTACTAGAAGATGCTACTGCAGCCTTGTAGGTATTACTCTGAACAGAGTTTGCCACAAAGGGGAGAGATATTGGCACTATCAAGTGCTAGCTATGCTAAACAGATGCAAACAAAGCTAGTGAAGATTTTTACTAGCACAGACGGTGTGATAGCAAGGAATAATACAAGATGGCCAGGAATGTGCACACTGAGCCTTGTGCTGTAAAAAAGATCAAGCACGTGGCACAGTGGGAAGACCACCAATTCACACAGCGGATGTTGCGAGAGGCAAGTTGAGGAGCAAGTCACCCAGAAGCATGGCTCTTCTCTCACAGTCCCACCTCTTCACCTTCTGGCTGAAATTTGCAGTGTGTGTTCATCCCAAGGGGGACCTCCATGAAGCAGTGCCTTCAGCATTTCACCAGGATGCATTCTTCTACAATAGTGATACAGTGTAGTGCATGGCCGTTGCTTAGGATCCAGTTACACACCAGTTTCACGGAAGCAGAGGGCCCAGGCTGAGCTCCACATGGTGAGTGAGCCAGATGACACACTCACAACTCGGATCGCTTTCCTCTGTGGGCCGGATTGGAGCAGCAAGGTTCTTGAACTCATGTTTTAGCTTAAAACTTACAGTAACTTCCCCCTCCTCTTTCTGTGGAGTGACCTTGATGAATACCCCAACTTTGTTAGCTTTCCGGAAGGCTATGATGCTGAAAAGTCAGAAGAAAAATACTGAAGCAGGTTTTATTTAAGTGAATTTCTGCTGATCCCCCATTTTTTCTGCAACTCACCACACCATCTGCTAATTGCATACCCAGCACCCCTTTGAGAAGTTATGTCATATGAGACCAGAAAATTATGGATTTTAAGCAACCCTCATATAACCTAAAAAAGACCATGGTTTAACCATCATATAACCACCCAAGCTTGCCAGGTCCAGGTCCTGGACCCTTGCCAGGTCCACAACCCCAAGCAAGGGTTCAATATTCAGGATGGTGGCTTCATACACCCTGCACAAAGCACAGCCTCACTATGGGTTAAATAACTCTGGTACCCAGTCATGCCATGTGAATAGCACAAGACATGTGATTAGACAAGTATGTCCTTACACATTTAAATCAGCTTCCCAAGATAAGAGCACTTCCAGCTTTTCTCAATATAGCATTATTGTTTCAGAACACAAGAGCTCTGTGCTCTGTAAACGTCTGAAATTAAACACCTAAAAAACACAATATAGTTATTATCCACCTCTGAGGCTGAATCCTGATTGCATATTTGCCTTACCTGGATTTGGATATCTTTTATACAATTATTCTCATTTTAAAATGTACTTCATAAAACTACCACTTCAAGGAGTTCATTTCTCTTTAATGATTTCAAAAAGTCAAATTCTAGAATACCTTAGCTGGGCACTTGGTTGAGAGGTTTCAGCTACAAGTCTCAAATTTTTTAGAATTCCATATAATTCTTGGATTATACCCCCTCTTCCTAAGTCTCAAGAAAGATAATATTTCTCATAATTCCACAGGTCCTCTCTGTGAGTTACATCACTACAACTACCATTTATTGAGAACTAAATAATTTTATTTCTTGCTGAAGCCAGCTACCATGGCTAAACAGAATGGGGATGAGGCAGTCACACGAACAGTCCAATTCTATGAAATGTGTTTGCTAGAATTTGGGTGTAACTTCATGGGCATATCAAAATTTGAATATAGTTTCTTGTGAAAGCTCAGCCTTCCTGAATGAGATGAAAGGTTCACCTAAATCCATCATTATGCTTCCAGCATTAGCCAACAAGATGACTTTGGGAAGCCCAAAAACACACTATGAAGGCAATAGCTGCCCCTCTGGTTGTTGCTAGGCAACTGGGGGTCGGAGGCATACTGCCGCCAAAGCTGGTTTCCATATAGCTATCATTGCTGACAACTATTGACTGAGAGATCCCCCACTTGGTTGTCTAGTGTCTCTTTGGAAGGATCTAAACCAGTGACCATCACTACATCTTGCGGTAATGAATTCTGTAAAATGTGTTGTTTAAAATGTGAAATGTGTATGTTCTTTCATCCAATCTGAATCTACTGCCAATCCATTTCATAGTATGTATTCACTTCTACTATTATATTGGGGTGGGGAGTTGCCACTTTCTATTCTCTAGTTTTCCAGCAGAAGTATAGAGCAAAGGAAAACAAAGAGCTCAGCAACTTGGGTGACAAATTAGTACACAAGTCGACAAATACTGTGAACCGTCCCAAGACATCTGTGACGGGACGGTATACAAAAATCTAAAATAAGTAAGAGGGAGGGAGGGACATGCTTACACAAAAATCTTAAGTAGGGAGGGAGGGAAAGAAAGAAAGAGAGGGACAAGCTTACTCAGGGTCATCCTGAAAATCCTGCGGTTCTGCCAGCTCATCATATTCTGCTGCTGCATCTTTGCCAGCCAGGATTAGCTCTTTGGATGGAACCACCACCTGAAAAATGGTGTGGGGACAGGGTGTTTTGCAACAAGTATCCACTTGCAATTGCTCCATGTTGTCTATGGAACATACATGTTAACTGAATGAAAAAGGCAAAAGATTGCCAGTGACTAAAGTGCAGCACTGGCATGGACATTTCCAATGCAATAGAGTCAATGCACAAGGCAAGCTTCTTTCGTGTTATGATAGCCAGCTTTGTGTTACAGAGCCACAGATAAGCCTTTTCTGAAGCAACCACTTACTGCATTACATATAAACCACCCAAAGTCTCCAAGCAGAGCATTATACAAACACACAGCTGGTGTGTCTTCCAGCATGGTGCTGAAGTACACACCAGGATCTACATTAGTAAGAAAGGGCAATACCTTTGCTGTACTGTTGATGTCATCGGGATCTCCCTCCTCGCACTCTTTCAGTGTCACGTGGGTAAGGTGTTCCACTGGATTAGTCAGAGTTAGAAGAACTTGACTCTCCTATGAAAGAAACAGGTGCACGGAAGACAAGATTACTCAAGGAAGAAACACTTTGCTCTGATTTTGTTTCAAGAAACTCATCCATGCCAGGCCAATACCCCTAAAATGAATGCACATCTTATAACACATTTGTACACAGGTAAACCTCATTTCAGGAATAGCTATCCTTCCAATCTCACATTGCAAGAATGATTTCAATGATTTAACAGAGACTTTTCTCAAGACTCAAGCTATGTAATGAAGACAGACTTAGTTGAGATCTGTTCCATTTCCATCATAGCATAGTTTAAAAAGCTGGTGCCTAAACTGCAAAGTCTGGTTTACACTCAGTCAAACAAAATCAGGTTCAATAGCTTGATGTGCATATGGTTTACTACAGGGCTGAGTGGTGAGGCTGCTGTGCCTCAAGAGGTCCCATCATCACAGGAACAGGAGCGCTGTGCTGACAGGAGATGAAAGTGAGCAAGTGGCTCTTATATGTTTGCCTACATATTTGGAAACCTAAACCACAGCTTGGGTTCTAAAATAAGGCTGCAACTTGATTTGAAGACATTTAAATCAATCATAATAAGTCTGCATATGGGTAGAAATATTTCTTAACCAAACAACATTCCTTCTTTCCATCTTTTAATAAATAAATATATTGTAAGCCATCCTGAGACATTCTGTAGGGGATGGGATAGAAAAGCTTTTAATTAAGCAAGCAAGCAAGCAAGCATTTTAGAAAAGGATGAAAATCACCTTTTTAGTCAAAACATTTTTTCATTTGATTTGTCTAATTAAACATGACAGCCCTTGCTTTATACTATGCTTTGTGCACACAAACTGGTTATTTTGCTATTCTAACTTAACAACGTTAATGAGAAACCTATATGCGGGTCAAGAAGCAACAGTGAGAGCAACCAAGAAATTAAAAGACGCTTGCTCCTTGGTAGGAGAGCTATGGCAAATCTAGACAGCATACTAAAAAGCAGAGACCTCACCCTGCCAACAAAAGTGCGTATAGTCAAGGCTATGGTTTTCCCAGTTGCAATGTATGGCTGTGAAAGGAAGGCTGAGCACCGAAGGATTGAGGCCTTTGAATTGTGGTGCTGGACAAGACTCCTGCGCGTCCCTTGGACTGCAAGGCGATCAAACCAGTCAGTCCTAGAGATCAGCCCTGACTGCTCTTTAGAAGGCCAGATACTGAAGATGAAACTCAAATACTTTGGCCACCTAATGAGAAGGAAGGACTCACTGGAGAAGAGCCCAATCCTGGGAACAATAGATGGCAAAAGAAGAAGGGGACTGAGGTGGCTGGATGGAGTCACTGAGTCGTCGTGAACTTAAGTGGACTTAAGTGGACTCCAGAGGATGGTGGAGGACAGGAAGGCCTGGAGGAATGTTGTCCATGGGGTCACGATGGGTCGGACACGACTTTGCAACTAACAACAACTTAACAAAAATTAGGAAAATTAATGTTGGGCCCGAAAAGCTATGCCACACAATTAAAAATAAACAAAAGTGTTTAATATCCACTCAAAAGCAGCTTTTCAAGCTCTCAAATTCTACCTCTCCAGAAAAACCTACCAAAATAAAAAGGAACTCACCTTCATGTAGCGCAGATTGGGAATAGACATGATTCTCACTTCTGGGATGTAGTTGCTACAAATAAATATGCAAAAAATAAATGGCAAACCAAGCACAAGCCTATTATTGCCCTTAACCTACCAACAGCAATTTTACTTTTTATTTATTTTTTAAGATATCTGTCTCATATTTCAACCTAAAGGGTATTTCTTAAGATGGAAATGTTTTGTTTTTTTAAAAAAACCAGCCAACGGACATGACTTTTAAGAAAAAGAGTAGTATGTGAAATTGGGCTGAGGGCCTTACATGGTCCTCAATTGGCAGGTTCTGCACCCCAGTTACAGGAGCTCTAGGACTTTACTGAAATGAGAAAAGTGGAAAAACGCATTCTTTGAAAGATCAGGCAGGTAAATATGAAAGTATACCATCCATTTCTGAAAGAAATGCACTGTAGTGTGTATAATATTAAATCAAAAAATACTAACCCCACTGGGTTGCTTAATATGGTATTTCTAAGCTGGTGTTTAAGGCCTAAGTAGGCCTCCACAGATGCACTAGTATACCCTTATTCATAGCACACAAGCATGTCAGGGGCAGGTTAGAGCATAACTTTTCTGACATGCTATTTACAGGAATTTCTATTTCACGAGTCCTCACCTATAGTCTAAAGTGAGAGAGCCCAAGCACAGGGTTACCATTACAGTGAGAATCAGGGAAGAAGGCCTAAATCTTAACGATTGTCTTGCCCTCACCCACTTCCAAAATACTTACACAGCTACCAACTGGATTTTGAATTTGATAGAAGTCGGATTGAACTCTGGTTTACTCAAATTGTGTTCACATTTCTAGAAAGGGAAAAGGTTAGAAAAACAAAATTATGTGTAACAAGCTTACGTCCCTAAAATCCAGTGAGATTTGCAAAATCAGTGTCATTCAATGAGGAGGCTTGGCAGGAGGCTTAGGACAAACAAAAGGCACTACTGTACACAGTGCATAATTTAATATAGGGAATACTTATTTATACATGGATTTATAGGCCACCTATAATTGTCAAGACCTTCCTTGGTGGCTTACAATACATAAAACATATTAAAGTAAAACACATTAAAACCAATTATACTCATAATGATGCCTCACAATGCATCCATGCCTCCAGCCATGCAAAAGACAACTATCCACTACTTCTGTAGATCAAATCTTTTGGGCTGTGCGCTAACTCATATATACTAATTTTGGGAACAATTTCTAGCAGACCTGGATTCCAGTCGTGGAAAAGTTTTGGAGTGAATGGTATGGAAGCACCTAACGCTGCAAGAGAATGTCAATGGAAACCTGACCTATGCTGGATGGGGGCCACTGGGAGCCTGTTGCAACCTTATAGCTCTCTGAAAGCAGCGCTACAGTGCAGACATAAAATGACTTTCCAGAGCAGCCTACATACCCGGCAGCGTAGTGAACGTTTGATCAAAAGGTGCTTATGACGTGGGTAAAGCTGAGAAGCACAGATGGGCTGGAAATCTGGCTGCAAGAGGCGTTGCCGCAGGGTTGTCACTGTTCACAGAATGCAAAGTTAAAAAAAATAAAATTCTTAGTCAACAGTTTTGAGCAACAAGGGAAAGCAGACACCACCTGAATCCATCAGCTGGGACAAAGAAAGCATCTTACCTTCTGTTAGATTGATTGGTCTTGTGTAATAATCCTCAGGCAGAGGCTCCACTTCCTCCACAGCCTGAGCAGGTTCAATTTTTATCTCTTTCTGGTCCTCTCCCTCTTTCAGCCTGAAGTAAAATGTAAAAAAAAGACTGCTTAGTGTAAGAAGAAACATTAAAACATTAAAACTTTGACAATAATATGTTACTGGCCCAACAGAAGAAGCAAACATTTGTAAATTAACCATTAAAACCACCTTAGAATAGCTAGACAAGTCACACAAAGCAAGAGATTAAGCATCATATATTAATTGCTCAGCAGAGGTAACCTGTTTAACTTAATAGTTCTGAATGTTGAAAAATTCATGTAATGTTTCCTCCTTTGGGAAACTAAAAAACAGATTTGCAGGTCAATATACAAGTTACCAACTTTTCACTAGCCTTACTTTTACTAGTTTTACGCTCTGTTACAATTGTGATGCTAAAGAATCAAGAAAAAAGAAATGAGAGTAAGAAAAGAACTGGGGTGTATCCAATGCTGTCCTTTAATTCACAGAAAGCAATTTGATCCAGGGGAAGCTACAAGGAAAGGAAAGGAAAGGAAAGGAAAGGATTTTGCAAATCCCACCTCTTTGCTAAGCTTGTGCAGACATCTCCACAACTCTTCCGGAAGGCCCCCCCCCAACATATTGGAAGAGAAGGGTTGAGTCAGCAAAAATCACTTCCCTACTCTTCTGTTCTCAGAAGCCCCACCTGGATCAAAGAGCTTTTCATGAGCCAAAGTACACTGCTGGCAAAAGAGTCCTTCTTTTTCTTCCCCAAAAGGTCAGAAAATTTTGCCTGAGATGCAGGCTGTTGCTACTCGTGATTACTTGGACACTAAGGCCAAACCACATATTGCACACAAATCACTATAAAAGTAACCTGACTGCCCCCTTTTCAGGTTTTAAGCAGTGATGTGGGGCAGAAAATCTCCAAAATGGAACATTTTCTGATCCTGTACTTTTCAGTGGAAAATTTTCCACACTGTATATGTCTGCTTTTATCCATAGTTGGCTGGTCTGCTGTACTCCAGTCAATCATGTTAGATGGGATAAATATCGTATAAGAACATTAAGTTATATTTATTCTTCTAGGACAAGCATTGAAAAATCTTCAGTTGTCCAGGAGGCCCTTCCTGTGCACTGTGGCTCCTTGTTGTGTCTGAACCAGTCCTATGATGTATTTGCCCTCTATTGCTAACATGCTCCATTAAAAACCTAAGGAAAACTGAAAGTGAAATTAAGACTGTGGTTACTGTTTGTTTCCCTTAAGAACAGAAGCAGAGCAATGCTGGATCAGACCTACATTCCAGTCACAAAGTGGCCAATCAGCTGCTCATGAGGTCTGAGCAGGTAAATGCAACAGCAACACCCAGCCCAGTTTGCCCATCCTGTGCCCCCAGACATATTTCGCCAAACAGAACGTTTAACTAGTACTTTGACTCAGATTTTTCTCAGCTTGAACCAGTAAGCACTGCAGAGAGTGAGTAGAGCTGGAAGGTGCAACAGTTACCTCAGCAAAGAATATTAAGCTATTGATCCAAGATCTATCAACTCTCTTCAGATATATATTCCCCAAACAATGTGTTCTTTCAGGTGCAGTCATTTTTTGCTAAATATAATCAAAAAACACAGGGAAGTATATGCTATTGTCTTTATTTTTACAAATTTTCAGCATTTTTACAAATGTTGCTTGAATGCAACATTTTAAATTATATTGTGTAGTTAATTTAATTTTCCCTAAGCAGACAGTTCAAATACTGTGTGGCTATTGGGAAAACTTTTGCTATATATATGCTGCACATGAAATTGACATGCATTGCATTTTTAGTTCTGTTTACCAAATATGAACTATGTTGCATGCTTATTGAGGGAAAATGTGGGTTGGAGAGCAAACATGAGTCAAACATGCCAAATCAGATAACATTATTTAGAGGTTTGGAAAGGTTTCTAGTTCTCCTTTTCCCAGAAAACTAGTATTACTGGTTTTTAAGAAATTTTTTGTGAGAGCACGATTTATAACAGAGAAGCAGCAGTTGTTGAAACATGTCACCATATCCCCCGTTCAATTATTCCACACCAAACCCTTCCCATAAGGGTTCCCATAAGTTTCTTCTGAAAGTGAAACAGATTTTAAGCCTCTGGGGGAAGAATTTGTTGGGGAAGGGAAACTGCTGGCAGTGGAAGAACTGAAGCAGAAACATGGCACAAAATGTTATTCCACCCCATTCTGATTTCAATCTTGTCCTCATAAATAGTTTTTCAAAACAAACAAACAAATGACAGTGACTGGATTTGCACAACATGCTAACCTGTTTCTAACTGCCCCTGCTTCTTGGGAAATCACACCCACCAGCCATGGCTAGGCTACAGAGCTACTTGGCTAGAGAAGCAAAAAGTGAGCACGGGATGTTCAGCTGGACCTTTTCCCAGGGAAAGCCAGCCAAACATGCCCCTTGCCCCCTGCCTGTAGCTGTGAGGAAGAGGCCCAGCCACACACACCACCCTCCCATGCTGCAGCTCCTGTGGACACTTTAGCAAGCCAGGGTGGGGTTCAAGCCAGAAGAGGGGCACTTGCCTCCGTCACCAGCCCACTGTTCAGCTGGACAGCACCATGGCGAAATGACAGGACAGGCCATCTTGTGATGACCCTGGAAAGTCAGCACAAGGTGACTCACGCTCCACCCCCCACAATCCCCTGCCCCACAAACCTGCTACTGCCAGGAGAGCACAGGGAAGGGAAATGGAAGACTGCTGTCTTTCCTGCTCCCCTCAGTGCTCTCATGGTGTTGCATGGAATACTGCTGGGATGACTGGGGAGGGCAGAGGGGGAAAAGGTACTTCGGATGCCCACTCCCCACTCTGTCGGATCATTCTTGTGCAGTCTTGGGGCCCCAGAAAACTTTAAGCCCGGGGTTGCTATAAAGCCACCTGGCCTTAAAGTATCACTGAGGCACATCTAGCCTAGCTGCAATCCTTTCCACAGCTATACTGAATGCCCATATAACAGAAGGAATTAACAAAAGCTTAGCCCTCCAAACTTCAAAGGATTCAACCTAAGGGCATGCCAGAAAAGGCAAAGTTATTACTAGCAATATACTAGGTTAGAAAATCAAGAGTTTACAGTCAGGCACAAAACCCAAGGGAAAACTGCTTGAAGCAGCTGTGCTGTTTGTAAAAGGAATCAGAAAGGCTCACATACAACTGTGAAAGTAACAGCTGAATCCACCACTGAGCAATGGAATACTTTTCCTTCTAAAGGGCTGACAGATCAGAGGCATGAGGAAAAGGCTGGATCTCCTGCACAGCCTCAGGGCAATCCATTCTTACCCCAGGCAAGTGGTCTGTTTCACCCGCTACCACACACAGAAGAGTCTAGTACTCACGAGAGTCCAGTAAGGGCACTGATGGGGGCTCCGGGTCTCTGGCGCTGAAGCCTGGTTCCAAGGCCATACTTGTCCTATGAAAGAAAAGTTAGCCCTGTTTGTCTGCATGGTTGAGGGGTCAAGCATATAGAAAGCAAACATGATTTTTTTTCTTTCTCATTATAGTAATTTTTGTTCATTTGGTTAGTAAAATAAAGAGAAGCAGCATGCCATTCAAAGTGCCCTTTAAAACAGCAACCCACCCAAACTATTTTAACCCAGTACTTGTATTTACAGTCTACTTCATATCTAAAGGTGTAGTCCTGTGCAAATTAGGCCAAAAAAGCCTTTTGTAGGTCTTTTTTTCTCTTTAAGCTTCCATAACATTGTGCCTAGTTAGAACGTGATTGTTCACATACCAGGAGGCAGCCTGCTTTTGTGGACCAAAATATCACTGGCTGGAGCCAGACTTAAAGGAACACAGTTACGGTAATGGTAGGGAATTCATTTTGTTTATATCTCAAGCTGACTGCTATCAGTTAACCCAAACAAGTTGCTACATTTGAATTAATGGGAAAAGTTTTCAAAGCAGGTAAAAACATGCCTGTCAATTCCCACAGGAAATAAAGGGTTGGCCTCAGAGGTGTCCTTCCTCATTCAGAGGTTAACTCCTGCTCCTGAAAACATCATTTTTTATCCTGTGTATAAGAAAAAATAAGACTAAACCTAAAGAATCTCTGCCTGCACAAGAGGTCATGCAACCCCTGTAGAAGCAAGTACCAAGAAAACCACTCTGGAACTGACAGTGGAAGCAAGTGCAAGACACTAGTTGCCATCTTCCTTCCACTCTTGGGTCACCGGATCCAAGCAATAATTCATATCATTGAATGAACCTGAATGAACAGAGTGCCTTGAATTAGTTCCCTACCATGTCCTCATAATGATCCTGCAAATTAATTAATTAATTAAAACATTTCTATGCCGCCCCCATCGCAACAAAGTCTCGGGGCGGCTCACAACAAAAACAAACAAAAGCATATAAAAATTATACAATAAAAATATTAAAACCCGGTGCATCTCGGCTTAAAAAAAATTTTTTTAAAAAAAACCTACATAATAAATTAACAATTAAATTAAGTTTTAAATTAAAAGGTCTTAGCCTGGCGCCGAAAAACAAATAACGACGGCGCCAGGCGGACCTCTCTGGGGAGCGCATTCCATAGGTGGGGCGCACCCGCAGAGAAATTAAGGCATTATTGCTGGTGTCACTGTTGACTCTATAGTGCCCTAACGAGTTTGAGACTAGAGTATTTAAAAGAACCTCTCCTCCCATATGCACTTGTGTGGACTCTTAGGTCGTCTTCTGAGGCCTTCCTCCAGGTGCATCTGCTGAAGGAAGCAAGGCAGGCCTTCCAAGAAAGAAGCCCTCTAGGTTGTGGCATCCTGCTACGGAACGCCCTCCCTGAAAAGGCAAGCCTGGCTCCTCTGCCACCTCTCATGGTGTCAGGCAAAAATCTTTCCTTTCTCTCAGGCATTTTAAAGTCCTAGGCTGTAAATTTTTATAGCTGCTAGATGTGTTCCCGTGCAGTTAGGGTTTTTTTAATTGTACTTTAATCTTTTATATTCTGTCTACATGGCATTTTAGTCTTTTAGCTGTTTGTAACTGCCTCAGAGAACACTGGTTATTGGGCAGATGATAAATATATAATAAATACCAAGCTACAGATAGGAAATTATTCTGGAAGTCACTTGCTGTAGGATGGGGATTCACTAAAAAATTTTCAGTTACCTGACTTTCTCCCTAGCTATTGGTTTATGTGCTATTTTGTAAAATGATAGTATGCAACTATATTTTTAGTAAAAAGAGAAAAGTGCACACGGCCTGGAAAAAGGATGTGAAATCTACTTGTGCTGCATATAAAAACTAAATCTGAATTATATAAAACCTCTGTTACTGATTGTGAGGGAGGGGTAGCAGGGACAGAGAAAGCATGTATGTGTAAGGAGCACTACTGAACTTTTCCAGAAGAAATACACACTTAAAAGCACTGAAAGCCGAATTGCAGTCAGGAGATACAGATGAAGGTATTACAGCAGGTTCACAGCTCAGTAGAGATTTCACATACACAGGGATCATACACCCTCAGAGAAATTCCTGAATACAAGAAGCAGATCTATCCCAGAATAGTCTGTTGGCAAGTCCACCAATAAATACTCTGATCACATGTCGTGCTCTCAGGGGCTTCCACCAGCAAAATGACTGTTGGGGGTACAAAAATGTACTTGAAGACTCTAACAATAAGTACAGCAGCCTAGGTGTAAAAGATGGACCCACATCCATATTACTCTTGAGTATGGTAAAGAACAATATACTAGTAGAATGCAAGTGGTGTCAAAGGCTTTAACACTATCAGAAAGGAAAGCACTTACCACTACATGTATAGTGTGTTGCTGCAGAGAGCCCCCAAATTAGCAGCAGGCAGCAACGGAGACAAGAAATATGCAGCAATAAAGACAAGAGCAAATGCACAGAGCAAGCAGATTATACATTTATCCAAAAGGCAGCAAGCATATGCAAAATTATTCAGCTAAGCAAACTAAGCCTTTCATTTGACACTGAGACAGGCTGCACCACTGAAAATTAAAATGAAATAGTCAAGTTTGTGCCAAGTGTGAGCAAGATCAGCAAATATTTTGTTAGCCAGCCAGCAGGTTAAAACTGAAAGCACAAGCATCTGGACTCTTATTTTGAGTCCAGACTTTAAGTCATACTTAATATAAAACAAAAGTTATTTTACAGTTTGAAATTACAGGTGCCTACATTTATCTCAAGGACAATGTCCCTTAGAGAACTATATAGCATTCTGGAATCCTTCCATACATAGCTGTTTAGAACTTGCATGCCATAGATAATGGATAAGCTTTCCATGAAGTATTATTTCCTTTGCCTGTCTCCTTCCTAGAAATCTCAAGTAAAATAACAAACATTCCTCTGCAATTTAAAAGCCATGTTTTCAACATGGGAGCCCCAGAATTGTGTTTACTGAATTCTATTTACTGTATTCCCAGCTCACCGAGAAAGCCAGCGGCATGTAGGGTCGACGTCGAACCAGCTTTTTACGATCCCTCTCCATCTTCTCCTTCTGAGCCAACTGTTGATAATACTCAACCAGTTTGTTAACCTGTATAGAAAGGGCCATTTAAAACAGTGAAATGGAAGAAAAGGATGTTCCTGACAAGGCAAGATTTTACATCAATATTCAATTTGGGGATGGGCAGGGGAAAATCCTTTTTCACTCATTAAAAAGTTACTGCTGGAGTTAGTGCCTGAGCAGGGACTGTATCAGGCTGGAGCAATGCATTCTCCTTCTATATCCTCCCCTGTCAGTAACTGGCATAATTAGCCTATCCTAACAGCTGAACCCAAATTCTGCTATTCTAGAAAACAGCCACCAAGCAGAGCAACTGAAGAACCTTGAACTGCATCGTATCCTTTATTACATCAAGGCAAGCCACATCCTGCAGCTTGAAGGCTGGGTCAAGCTGATAGCGAACAGGGCCTGGAAGAACATGGCTCTTGAATTCAAAATGCTGCTTCTGGGTGGGAAACCTGTCAGTGTAGTATAGTGGAGCTGGGGAAAGACTCTGACCTGTGTTATGAGCAGCATCCTCCTCCTGGAAATAACTCATACAGATTATGCTAGTCCCTGTACCGATTATCACAAAACTGGACCTAGTGTGATCAATGCAGGGGGACAGTATTTCATTGAACAGCTTTTGGGAGGAAATTGTTGGCCTATTCGGTATATTTTTCATCTCCAGTTCCAGCTGGATGCTCCAGTTTGACACTCCAGTGCTAAGACAATTCTGGGAAGAAACTACTTGGTTTCAATCATGTAAGACTTATCCTTTCCCATTTAAGACAAACAATGGTCAACTACTCTTTTGTAAGTTAGTGATAAGAAAAGTAGACTCAAGATGAAAGCCTTCTTCTTCCTGAAATCATTCTATTAAAACAGAGACATTATTTTTAGTTACCTTTTGGGTATGAGGATTCTCCGGTTCTTGCCAGCCTCCACTGGCTGCAATACAACAAAAGGAGCAAATTCATACTTTAAGCACCAGACAGAGAAATTAAAATGTACCTAGTCACTTCCTGCTTCCTTGCTCCTTTCATCCCACTAAGATCGTTGACTAGGATACCTGGTATCTTTTGGTGTCAATATTCCTGCATGCCTTGAGGCAAAAGATAGAACTGGATAATATACCAGAAAATTTAAGTTTTCCAAATTAGTGTCTAGAGGCTAACTTGCATAGAGAGCAACAACACGAATCTGCAGGGGAGGACTGGCAGACTAGAGGGGGCTGACTCAAGTCTGTTTTGCAACTGCCAAGTATTACTTATGTACACTCCCCTCTTCCTTGATGGCTATTCCCATCGTCGGCCCTCTTTGGATTTTGCATCTCCTTGCAATGCACAGAGAAAAAAAATTAAGTTGAATAAAGTTATAACTAAGGCAAATCACCCATATGCATCATGGAAGTATACATGAAAGAATGAAAAGGAACCCCATGCTTCTAAGGACTGTGTCTGACAACCTTCACCATCATGATGCCCTCCAGACGTTTTGGATAGCAACTTCCATGATTCCCAGCTAGCATGGCCTTTGGATCTGGTTAGGGAAGGCTGGTATATGAATACTACAGATGGAAAATTAGGGGAGGTGGTACTTTTTCCACATAACAGAGAAACACCCATCTGTTCAAAAAATACCAGGAAATCGGGATTACCCCCTCCCTGCCCTTTCCACCAAAATGTCACCTAACAAGGTCTGCCATGCACAGTACTCTTCTCTAGCAGAGAAATGACCTAGCGCCTCAGCACATCCCATTATTACAAGCCTCGCAGCCTTAGGAAGTGGATATTTAATGATACTGGCTTGCTCCCATCAGCCAGTACAGATGAGAGGGAGCAAACTAGGGAGGATTTTCACATATCCTAAGAGCTCCTGGAATGAGATACTGGCCCTCCCAGCTTCTTCTGCTTTGCTGGTTCTGTGCAGCTACCAGGATCTGGACTGGTGACTGACCAGGAAAGGTGTCTTTGCATCACAGTGGATTGATAAATGGAAACAGCAATCAAATGTGCAGCATCTCTGAGGGATCCTAACTGAAGGGGCTGAAAATATAACTTCCAGTACTGCAGTGCCTTTCTATAAATCTTCCATATGAAGATACTTGGAATAGTGTATAAAGTGCTTTTGCACACTTCTGTAAAGAAGTGAATCCAATTATGTTTGGTGTGAAGAATGGAACAGGAGGGAGGGGAAGTTGTTTTTCTCCCTCTTTCATAATACTAGAATGCAAAATCAGACAAAAAGGAAGCACTTCTTCATATGCACATACAGCATACATAGTTAATATATGAAACTTCTGCTAGATTGTAACACCTCCATGTGCTACTGTTAGGTAACCTCAATTCCCTTGTTACAGTATCTCTTACATGACTTTCGAATGCTAGCACTGATTTGGCATAATACAGTATCAGTCCAATTTTCAATGAATGCTGTGTGCACAGTGAGCCGTGGAGAAGTTTTCTTACATCATCTGAAAAGCAATTCCACTCACCAACTGATTTATCTGCCATGCCAACATCTCTGGAAGTCCAGCGACAAAAGCCACAGGCCAGATAATAAGCTTTCTTCATTGTAGTCTTGGCTGGATCATCAGGCAAAGGAGCAGAGATGCTTGTTGCTCGGGTGGAGAGAGTGTGCATACAGCAAGGGCAGTCAAAACAGTTAGCACATCTGAATGGGAAGAGACAAGCATAAAGAATATTTTTCAGGGCTTTCATCTGGAGCTCAAGGCCTCTGGCTTTCAGAAATTGTATCTAAAAAGAGTCTCAAGGAACACATGTCTATCTAAAGGATTCATTATGAAAGAAAGCACTGAACAGAAGCAGCTAACACGAAACAAAGTCTCCCCCCCCGCCCCACTTCATGAGTTAGCAGAAAACCTGCTGCAGGAAATCTCCAAATGCCACGATTCAGTACTGAGTGGTTCAAAGCATTTGACACATGTTGTATGAGGATTCAAAGAGAAACACACTGGTTCAGGATTTGTTTCAGAATGACATTAAAAACACCTTTATAGATGATATAGAATGACAAGTGTAAATACATTTTAAAGCCCTTCTAATACCATGTGAACACATCAGCAATGGGATAAAACTAAAATATTCAGTGGAGTACATCTTACAATGTAATGAGATCAAATACACCAGTAAAGTGAGAAGTGAACAGTCCCACATTTAGGCATAAGGGGCTCCAAGTCAGAAGTCTATGACAGGCAATGAAGAATGCCAAGTCAAACACACAGAGGCATAATCCTCATACCAATGAAATCATATTAAATAATATCCACATTGCAGGAATTTTGAAAACTCAGATTCTTACAAAGATGCTGGGATCCAGACAAATAAAGCTGTAGATGAATTAATATTGAAAGATAATAGATTGCAAAAGGGAAAGGAGTAAAGGTTGCAGAAGCAGCATGCAATCTTACCTATTCTTCTTCAGCTTGGCTTCAGCTGATGGCATATTTTCCAAGCAACTGGGACAATAGTGGGAATCCACCTAAAGAAGAATGAAAATGGCTTCTTCATTATCATCATTCACCAATCCTTCTCCAACACTGTACTTAACAAAAAGGATCTGTGCATTTCCCGATACAGGACAGATTTATGAACCAAATGTCTCATTTGTTTCTCATTTCTGCAATGAACCCAGCAGGTGACCTAAGGCAGGCCACCCCATCGCAGCAGCAATCCCTGTATATGTCACGCTATAGTACCAAAACTTACTGCAGAGCTGTTATAAAGATTACACAAAAATATGTAAAATGCTTTGAAGAGCACACTCACACACATTATAGGAACAGGAGCATTTTCTTCAGAACAGTGGAGAAGAAAACCATTTATTCATTAAATATATATTCCATCTTTTCACTCAAAATAGTACTCACAGCAACTTACAGTGAAACACAGAAAATGTTATAATTAAAAGTGTTTTTAAAACAAAAAAAATTCTTCAATTTAGAACACACCCACCACATCCAACAGAACACAAATATAAAAAGCTAATCAAAGCATATGAACAAGAAAAAAATAGCATACAGAGATTAAAAACCCAACTCAGCTCACATGTCAAAATCCTGCCTGAGTGAAAGTGGATTTGCCTGCTAGTGGCAGGATAAATGAAACTACATAATCCTGGGCTCCTTTGGCACAAAGTTCCAATACCTGGAAGAAGCCATCAAATAGGCCCTCTCTCATGTCTCCATCAAAAGTGCTTCTGTTTATGAAGGGACAGAAAGAAAGATCCTTTAAAACCTAAGCATGCTCATCACCTAAATGCTAACATGTCTCTTCACTGTCTTCTGCCACAAGGTATCTTGACAAAGAAAAACAATCTCCTAATCACGAAGAGCCAAAGACTTCTTTGAGTGGTTTCAGACAAAGGTTTCATTGTGAAATCACTCGACTTAGTTAACCACATTTTACAAGGGATCCAGACATCTATGACTGGCTTCACGTGATAAAACATCCCATCATGGGTTGTCATGTCATCCAAATCTCTGCAGAAAGGCTTAATTTTTGCAACCAAGCCATGCTGAGAACCCATGGCTTATTGCAGGGTTGTTTATACCCACAGTGGATTGTCATGCTGTTGGAACCCAAGGGAACAATTGTATTGTGGGTCACTAAAATTTGCTACAGATCCACTTGAAGAGAACATGAAAACAGCCTGTGGCCACTTGTCCATTATCTCCCCAGTGAGAGCTCACCATATTTAAGCACAACATTCTGTTCGCCTAATGACTAACCAGATGCCTCTAGAAAGCCCACAAGCAGGATGCAACTGCAGCCTTCTGCTCATTTTCTCCCGCAACAGCTATGCAGAAGCATACTGCCTCTGACAGTGCCTCCTACAATTCCCTCCTAACTGGTAGTCTCCTCCATGAATCTGTGAAATCCCCTTTTAAAGCAGAGAACATTCAAAAAAGCCATGCAGGATCAGACCCAAGTTCTGTCTCGTCCAGCACTCCATACACATGGTGGCAAACCAGCTGGCTACAGGTTCCCCCAAGCGGATGGGTGCAAGACCTCCTCCTGCCCAAGCTCCTCAGCAAGTGGTATATGCAGGCATTCCAGCTCTGGTAAAGGAGGTAGCACACAGCCTAGTAGCCTCTGATAGCTTCATCCCTCATGAATCTGTCCAATCCCTTTTTAAAGTCATCCAGATTGGCAGCCATCACTACTTCCGAAGGCAGTGAATTTGATAGCTTAACTACAACTGTATGAAATGTTTTATACTATACTCGCTTTTATCTGTCCTAAATCTCCATCCAATCAGTGTCACAGGATGACCCTGAGTTCTAGTTTTATGGGAGAGGGAGAAAAATGTCTCCCTCTCTACTTTTTCCACACTGTGCACTATTTTAAACACCTCTATCATGTCTCCCCGTACTTACTTACTGTTCTAAGCTGAACAGTCCCAGTTATCATAGCCACTTCTCATAGGCGAGCTACTCCAGCCCCCTGATAATTTTTGCTGTCCTCCTCTGTACTTTTCTCAACTCATATATGTCCTTTTTCAGGTGAAATGACCAGAACTGAAAACAATATTCCAAGTGTGGTCACACCAAAGATTTGTATAATGGGAGTAAAATTTTGGCAGTTCTATTTTTGTATTCTGTTCCTAATTAAGCCTAGCATGGAGTTTGCCTTCTTTACAGCAGCAGAGCACTGGACCAACATTTTCATCAAACTGTCCACCACCATCCCAAGATCCCTTTCTTGCTCAGTGCCTGCTAGCTCAGATCCCACCAGCATATATGTGAAGTTAGGATTTTTTGTCCCAACGTGCATTACTCTATACTTGCTTATTTTAAACTGCATTTGCCATTTTGATGCCCATTCTCCCAGCCTGGAGTGATCATTTTAGAGCTTCTCACAATCCCTTTTGATTTTAACCACCCTAAAAAAATAATAGTGTGGTCAGCAAACTTGCCCACTTCACAACCCACTCTTAATTCCAGATCAATTATGAATAGATTGAATAGAATTGGTTCCAGTACAGAACCCACTGGGATTCCACTGGTGACATCTCTCCATTTATTCCCACCCCATCTTCTACTCTTTAACCATTTAGTGATCCATAAAAGGACCCCCCTTTTATTTATTTATTTATTTATTAAAACATTTTTATGCCGCCCCATTCGCCGAAGCCTCGGAGCGGCTTACAACATAGATAAAACAATAAGTTAAAATCCATATAAAATAATCTTAATTAAAACACACATTATAAAATAAGCCGCCCTGGCCAGATAAAATTCAATTGTATTTAGCATTTAAAATGTTGCTTAAATAAAAAGGTCTTAGCCTGGCGCCGAAAAACAAATAACGAATTTTTATTCCATGACTGCTTCGTTTGCTCAGAAGCCTTTGGTGAGGGACTTTGTCAAAAGCCTTTTGGAAGTCTAAGTAAGCAGTATCTACTAAATCACTTACTGACACTCTCAAAGAACCCCAATAAGTTAATGAGACAAGACTTCCCTTTGCAGAAGCCATGATTGTTTTTCAGCAGGACTTATCCCTCTATGTGCTTGGAAGCCATCAAAGAATGTGTCAAAAGAAACTTCATTATTTAATTACGCACTGTAAAAATAAGTACATCCTTTTATCTATCCTGAAACTACCACAATTCTGCTTCATTTAGATGATCCAAGGTTCTATCTACAAGTTCTATAAAACTGTTATATTTCAGCAACAATTGCTTTGGTGCCTTATCAATTGCACAGCCTCATCTAGAAATGAGAGGCAACAATACCCACCATTACATGAGCTGCTTGAAAAACATAGTAGAAAAGGAGATCAAATGATCATTTTGTTCAATACATTGCTTGAATAATGAGCAAAAGAACACTGAAAGTATGTGTAAATGTAGCTTTGTGTAAGTAAGGTAAGAGTTCCCATGATGCATGACACTGACAGAATGAAATGGAGGTTATGAGTTACCCACATGCCATACAGAAGTAGGTTTTGCAATGTAACTCCCACAATTCCTGGCCATACTGAAAGGGGATGATGGGAATTCCAGTCCAAAACATTTGGAGGGCACAAACTTGCCTACTGCATAGCTCAGTTCCAGAAGGGCAGAACTGGCAGGTTCCCAACATAGCAAAAAGCTACTGTAAGCAACTCGAAAGCGAAGAAATACAATGAAGTCTGATACAGCTCACACACGGATAATGCTAATTTATGCAGAAAGAACGGGCTTCTATGGCACTGATGAGAGAAAGGAAGATTTTTTTATTATCCGTGAAAATAAAGATGCCAAGGAGCGCCCCGCCCCCTCCCGAAAGACCAGAATGACAAGCCTGTTCCTTTCCGTATTGTCCAATGAGGAAAGGAATGACACTGACAGACGAGCATGTGCCCCAATCAAGATTCCAGCCTTGAGATCCACCTACAGGAACCAATGGGGGAGAGCTCTGAACGCGCCGGGGCTCGCCAACCGGGCGAAGAAGAGCAGCGAGAGACAGCCCGAGAGGCCAACAGGCGCCCGCGGGCGCCGCCGCCGCCCCCCCACGCCCTTCCCCGCTTACCTCATGGGAGACGCACTCGAGGGAGCGGAGCTCGCTGCAGTAGCGACAGAAGTAGAGCTGCGAGAGCGGCATGCGGATCTCCTTCTCGCCGCGCACCAAGTACAAGACGCGCTCGGACTGGAGCAGCGAGGCCATTTTGGAAGGATCGGGCCGGCTCCCGCTCCGCCGCTCGCCGCACCCCGCTTCAAGGCGCCCGGCACGTGACCCGGAAGCGCCGCCCTCGGCCGCTGCCGCGTGGTCTCTCGGCCTCCACTTCCGGGTGGCGCTCGGGCCGTGCGCGGGGGCGAGGAGCGGAGGCGCTCGGCGCGGCTCTCTCTGGCCCTGGACCTGGACCAAGGAGTGTCCTGAGCGCGCACCGTCGTCCTTTAAGCTGGGTTTATGGAGGGTTAATAGCCTTTGTATTACATCGGAAAGCAGCCTTCTTCTGCTTGGTTCCCTCCAGATGTGTTAGCATGCAGTTCCCATCATCCCCAGCTAGCATAGTCAGGAACCAGGAGTCTGGGGAGTTTTTGCTCAGAACATCTGGACGGTAGCAAGTTCAGGAAAGCTGCCTTAAAAGACTTCTGCATTTCATGGGAATATTTTGAAGCAGAGGTCACTCCCATCAGTTGTGCAATAAGCAAACAGGAGTACCCTGCTAGAAACCTGGGAGGAACAAGTTGGATTTGTTACTCTCCAACCAGCCAGCTGTACCTTTTCCAGGATACTCCACTCTAATAGACCTTCCTGGCTTGGACCTTTAGCAGCTATTTAACCATGCCTACTTTTACCAGAGTTAAAGATACCTGGAAAGTGTTTTTGATTTTTTAAAAATCAATGAGTTTTCCCTTCAATAAGCAATAGAGACGTTGTTTCACAAAGCAAGTAATGGCACAAAACAATAAGTTAAACCAACACCTTACTTCACTCACCCCCATTCAGTTTTAAGATCCACATGGCTGAAAATGGGTTTTACATTCATATCTGCAAAACTTAGGAGCGCAGTTGCCTGCTGATCCAGTGCTACTTAGTAGCTGCTATGTCCAACCAGGTGGCAGCAGGCACTAATGATGGTTGGGGGGTTTTTTAAAGAAGAAAAAAATGCTGATGCTCACAATGCTTGTTTTCAGTCATACATCATATGGTCAATGTTATGAACTCATTGCCAGGAGAGAGAGAGAGAGAGAGAGAAGTTTTGCAGCTGTAAAAAGCTGTAGTTTCTTCGGCAACCCCCTTTCCCACCACTTTGCCACTACCTGTTACAACAAGCAAGACTTCTGTCTTGTTCCAAAGTACATAGAGAGCAAATAAGAGGAAAGAAGATACTACAGTGCTGTTGCTATTGCAAAGGCAAGTCACAGCAGACAGCTTTTTTAGTGTAACTGTCTTTGAACTGTGTAATTGGACTTCTTACCTTCTATGAAGGGTGAATATAATGAAGAAATAATGAGCTGTACTTTCAAACAGGAAAATCTGTTCTTTCTCAAAAAAAAGGGGGGGGGGGCAACCAAACAACATAGTGCTTACCTTCCTGATATGTAATCTTACGAATATCTAAACCAAAACAGCTACATGCCCAGTGCGCCCCAGCAAGGACTTTTTTCTATCTGATCTTGTGTCCTGAAAGATGGAGTAGTTAGCCACTGTGTGGCAATTCTGAGCATTTAGATATTATTCAGAAGGCTTCACAGTATCTCCGTTCTTGCAACATCCCTGTAAGTTACAGCAATACCATTATCCTCAGTGCTTTTTTTTTTTTTTTCATAGAACGCCCGCACCTTTTTTCGACAGATTTTCCAAGTTTTATTTATTTATTTATTTATTGCGACATTGTTATGCCACCCCATTCGCCGAAGCCTCGGGGCGGCTTACAACAATAAGTTAAAATACAAATACATTAAGTTAAAATACAAACATTAAATTATAACCTTAAATTAAGATGTTTGTAAAGTGTAGATATAAAGTTAAAACACAAAAATAACAATATAAAATAAGTTGCCCTGGCTAGATAAAATCCAATAATATTAACAATTAAAATGACGCTTAAATAAAAAGGTCTTTGCCTGGCGCTGAAAAACAAATAACAAGTAACTTTTGAAAATTTGATGTTTGGTCCACGTGGATTTGAATTGCCCTGTCGAGCGTAGCAGGTCGGCAGCAAAATCATTAAAACGGTGCATGCAGGCTGCTTGTGTGTCGAATCCGATGCATGTGTACTTTGTCCGTGCTGGTTGTGATGGTGCTGCTCGGCTTGTGGCGCTGCTCGGCTTGTGACTAGTTGTGTGGTTGCGCGCTGAGTGCTTACTGCGGATGGCAACCGTTATGTTTTGTTACACAACTGACGTGTGTGTGTGTACAGTGATTGACTACATGCGAAAGGTAACTAATTTCATGAGTTCCAGCACCTTTTTTCTTACAAAAAAAGCACTGATCATCCTCATACTGCAAATGGAAAAAGGCAAAGAGAAAAGCAGCTACAGCAAACCAGCACCCACTGAGGGCTCAGCACGCCGGCAGGACACAACTGAAAGCCTTCTGCATTTATTCATTTCCACTGCAACTTGTTTGTCCACCTGCTGCTTATTCTACTGATCTACTGATCTCTGCCCATGAAACAGCAGTGACAACAAAGATGAGCACGAATAGCCGCCAGTGACAGCTGTGGTGAGAAGGTAGACTCTGAGGGAAGGGAATCATTAAGTTCCCCGAAACCTGGCGTCTGCACTTTCTTCCAGCAAATGGGAAAGGCACACTGGGGTATGATTTTGATCAGAAAAGAGACATCAGCACAGAAAGAGCATCCACATAAACCGCAACTTTGATCAAATATGCAGCCTCCGGTGGCTGAATTTTACTGTCCTTGCTTAAGTTAAATGCATCTCCTGTGTTACATCCATATTGATTCTGAAATACTCTCACTAGTTGTCTTCACCACCACACTCAACTCATCTCCCTCTTTGCCTTTATTATCACACGAACTTGCAAACTGTTCTCATGCTTCCTCTACTTGTAGATTAGATCTCTTTGAAGTGGCTACTAAAAACTGAAGCTGCTCCCATGATTATTTTTGTTTGTTTAGTCAGTTAAGAATAGTCATGTTTCCTTGACCTTTTAACATTAACCTCTGTGGAATATTCCAAGGAAAATGGACCATTATAGTGTAATATTCCATAAGAGGAAATCCAGTTTCCCACGGTTGCATTACACTGAGTGGTGCCTCCGAAAAATCTTTCAACAAACCAAAGAGATTTTAGATTGCAGGCAGATCCTAATATAGGGCTAAGTATTAGCTTTTATCTCAGGAATTTCTTCTTGAGGAGCTTGATGCAGGGTTACCTCACCCTCACACCTGAGTGGAAGGGGAGTGTGCAGGTGCTCTTGCGGGGTTTTCCATTATATTTGCCATCAGCAAAGCCAGTCTTCATTGTTTGGAGCACTCAGTGTTAGGATGGGCCTCTTTCAACCCACTGAAGATATTTAAAAGATGAGGTATATTTGCCCTGGGTTAGGGCAACTCCTGATGATTTCACATGGATCTGTGCCTAGTCTGGAGTCCTTTCCAATTAGAATTTTCAGAGTATGAGTCCCTCGTGCTTCATTTACAACTCCTACTGAAGACATTTAAACAAGCCTTCCCTGGCAAGCCAGCCATTGCTTCATTGGCATAATTAGATTTTTAAAACTTTAGCTCTGTATTTAGATCCTTCCCTTCTATTTAACCCTCTTGTCTGTTGCATCTGACAAATGATTGCACATGAAACAACTTGCCTTGGTTTGTTTCCCTCTAAGTCTTTCCAGCCACTGCCAGTACATATCCATGGGTCTTTCCAGCAGAAATCCTCATGTCTTCATTCCTTGCACCTGCCCATCTCTGCATTGAGTCTGCTGGGACTGCAGATTGGCAAAGTTACTGAAGTTTTTGAACCTTTATGAATACAGGAACATGTTCACACACTATTTAAAAAAAATTAAGGGTCTTACAGATGTGGGCAGACCTGCAAGACTGCCTGCCTGCTCCTGAGTCCAGTATGGGGATACCTCAGTGTCAATGCTTTCCTCAGGTTCCTCTTCCACTTTGACACGCCCTGAGCAAACCTCACCTGCAAGGCAGTCAACAGCTTTGTAAATGTCATCTTCCACTTGGGTGCTTCCCTTGCTAGCAAACACCTTAAAAATAAGCTGCTTCTGCCAGCTGACCCTTTGCATTTGCTGTTTCCTTCCACTGATCTGCTGTCAGATGTGCATGAAAGTTACAGAGGAGTGAGCTGGATTGCTAAAACATTTACAAGGTCGAACAGGGACTGAGTGGCTAATATACAGGAAAACTTCAAGGCAACTCTGCTGGAGTACAGTAACTGCCGCATTTTAGCAGATGTGCACCAATCTCCCTGAAAGCTTAAATAAATAAAGTTAAATTAGCACAAATTTCCCCAAGGAAAAAAAAAGACCCTTCTGCATATCTTCCTGAAGGGGAATGTGTGGAGAAAGGGTGTCACTGTCTAGGGAGCTGACAAAAGTAAAGCAGTAAATTGACTAGTGTCATTTCTAGATGTAAAATCAAGGGAATATTGTTAGTGAGAAACAGATGGATTGCTTGCTGGACTTGCCAGGTGGCTTTCTTACTGATTTACAAAGCCCATGCAGAGATGACTGCTGGGTTTGGGCATTGCATCAAGTCACCCTGAGAACAAGCTACCCTAAATAAGGCTTTTATGAGTCATGGGTTCTCAGGATGGCTTGTATGGGCGAAACAACCCCCTACAGAAAAGCCATGCTGGGTTCAGATGTCATGTCTAGCCACCTTGCAAGTGGCTTAGTGTGACATGTGAACCAGAACACACTTCAAATACTGCTTCCATGTACAGAGGTTGTAGTCAATTTGAACAGATGGAATATTTTGACTCAGAATAGCTCAGAAATAAATGTCATAGAGATCTGCTGTAAAGCTTGTTAATCACAGTTTCTTCTGTAATTAAAGCTTCCAGGAAAGTGCAGTTGCATTATTTGATCTTGAACATGCATTTTCAGAACAATAATGGGAGAACATAAAAAACCTTTCAGTGATTCCAGGAGACTGGGCAGGGATTTTTTTTTTCTTTGATCACTGTTTATGTGTCATAGGAGTAAATTTTGCCAAGATTCCTAAATGTGCTGCTGATTTTTTCCCAGCCTAGAGCTGGTGATCCCACTGAAGCCCTGGTTTAGCTGCAGAATGGAGAAATGTTAAGGAAAGGTGCCCTGCTTGGTCTCAGGTGTCTCATTGTGCTGGGCAGGGCTTTTGCAGAGGAAAACTAGATACGAATTCATCCAAGCACACGCAAGAGGCCATCTTGAGTTCTACTCTTGGTGGTGATAGCAACAAAGAAGGTGTCAGCAGTGTCACTGAGTGGGGTTGTTTCAAGTTGTAAAGAAACAGTGACAATCTGGACCCTAGAGTGACACGGGGAAGTTTTCAACAACCCACTGTAACAAGTTTGCAAAACATTTTGCTGATACATTGGTTCTCAGATGTCTTTCCACTTGTCCCACAGCCAAGGTTGGCAGCAGCATGAGATAAGCCTTCTGTGTGGCAGCACCTCACCTGTAGAATTCTTTCCCAAATATGAAATGAGGCTGGCCCCATCGATGTTCAGTTTTGGGCCAGCTATTAAACGTTTGTTCAATGTGGCTGTTTAGTATTGTAAATGTGCAGCTCTACATTCTTGTTTTTCAGCTTCTCGTAATTCCGCTGTTGGTGCTGTTTTATCATTTTGAAAAGTGTACTTAACGGTTTCAAATTGCTTTTTGATTCATGCCATTGTTTTTGGGTGCAATTCTGTAAAGATGCCCACAAGCTCCTGTCCTCAGTGGTTTACAGGCATCCAGTGCAGAGGGGGAGATCTTGTCCTCCCTGCCTTCCGACCCTGCTGCATTTTTACTAGATGGACTTTTCCAGCCATCTGTCTGGAGCATCTTGGAGGGGCAGAGGAGGTGGCTGCAGACACATTGTCTTCTCACTGCTTCCAGTCTTCTTCACTCCTTGCTGCCCACACCACCCCCTTTTACCCCTCGCTAAGATTGCATTCCTTTAGAGAACAGCTGATGTGGTTCTTTGGGCATGGGCTACAAAGGGGTAGAGGAACTAGGACTACCTTCAGTGTCTAGGGACCATAAGATTGCTCCATTCGGGCTTACTTTTAGGGGACTCTCTCTGGGCTGAAAGGTGACCCATACATTTGCAGATAAATAAAACTTCTGGGCCCATTTTGTTCCATGTGATTGTCTCCGCCCACCTTCACGTATATTGGTGCCTTCCACATATACTGGACTGAAATATATGGTAGGCACCCCGTGGAGGACACATGGCCGCTGAAGGCTCTTCGACATGAATTCTGTGTAGGAAAACGATAGGTGTTCCTCATCAGTACAGTGATGTGATAAACTCTCTTGTATGACAGAATAGGAAATCACAATAAGGCAAGACTGGTGGTTTGTGTGTTCTCAGCAGGTTCACATATGTAAAAATAGACTTGTCGGTAGGCAGTACATTTCAGTGTGTGTCCAACACATGAGCAGGCTTCCTCTTATGTAAAGCACGCTGTACACTAAGAACATGTGAGCTGAACTTTGGGCGATTTACCACGAGAACCTTTACTTTTTTCTAAAGCTCTTTAATAAACAGTTTTCAAATATAAAATAAATTACAACATCCACTGGCATATTTTAAGTTGTAAAGAGTGACGTCCCAGAATAAAAGAAGGGACATTTCAGGGAATGACAATAATGTCGCAACGCTTTATTCTAACTGTATTTATTCAGGCTTGGGTTTGTGCTGGCTGTTTCATGTCATCTTATGCCCCTCGCAGCCCCGCGACACAGCACGTCTTCCCGCATTTCCGATTTTGACCACCAGGTGGCGGTTCTACGACAAGGCTTTCGAAGCCTTGCCTCCTCCGAGCCGGGAGGCGCCTGCCCTTCCGCGCTCGCCTCGCGCTCTGCTGGCCTTTGAAGTGCGCGCGGGGGGAGAGGCGCGCGCCGCCCGCAGCAGCCCCCGCGGCCGAGGCGGAGGGACGGAGGCGCAGCCGCTCCACGGCCCGGGCCGAGCGAGTTGGGAACTTAGGCGCGGACGGCGCCGGGACGGCCCTTTCCGCCGCCTGCCTTGCACCCGCGGGTGCAGCGCGCTGGGAAAGTTGTTCCGCCGCCCCTGGGAAGACGGCGGTGCGCTCGCCGCCCGTTCAGCTCGCTCCTGCCCACTGGCGAGCCATGGGCTCCGGGCTCCTCTGAAGCTGAGCTCAAGAACCTGGCAGGTAACGTTGAAAATACGCTTCTAATCTCAGCGGTCTGGCGGTTCGTGTGCGTGTGCGCGCGCGCGTGTATTTAAAGCAACACGCAGGATCTTCTCCACGTCTACTTAGCAGTAAGTTCCATTGAGCTCAGTGGAGATATTTAAAGCAATCGCAGGATCTTCTCCACGATTGAGCTCAGTGGAACTTACTCCCCGGAAAGTGGGTGACCCGAGGCTAGAGGCTTAGACCCCCGCGGGATGGCGGCGATTCCTTGCTGGAGCTTGCAGCGCCTGGAGCGATCCACGCCCCTTCTGGTCTCCCGGGCACTCTCGCCGTCGTTAGAACGCGCCATTCAGCCAGTGACTCGCGTCTGTAGGACATGAACTTTTTGCTTCTAGTGATGGGCTGTACGTGGACGACGTTGTAGTTTCTGCTGAAATAAGGACTTGAAAAAAATCTCTTGCTTTGTCTCTGCATCATTTTTGCAGTTTCACTTCCTTTCCCGATTGTATTATCCTATCTCTTATTGTTCGGTTTGTCGCGGGGATCATATGTGCGCAAATCATAGGGGAAACTCTGCCCAGGATCATCAAAGCAAGAACTTCATTTCAGAAACTTCATTTCGCATTTTTTCATGTGAGGATGCTCAGAAAACAAGCTTGCTCTGAAATAAGCAAACAGGTCTGTGCCACCCATTTAGATTCAGCCTTCTTGATTGTGGCACCCAAATTCCTGGTTAACCTCCCAAGTTATATTTGTCAGGATGCCTCTTTGCCCACCATTTCTTCGAGGCTGACATTTCACTTTATTTTCTTTGAGACCCAATACCTTTTCCTTTCTTTTTAGACAACTGAGCTGCTGCTGATAGGGTTTCTTTTCTTAAATGATGTTTTTTCAGGCGGTTTTACTGCTGTTTATCATGAAATTTGTTGTGTATGTGCATTCACCCATACAGTTTAATAAAGGTGGGATAGTAATATATAAATGCCTAAAATTGGGGGTCTGTAAAGGCTTTGTTATTTTGCTGTTGTATTTTATAAAAGCAGCAGGTCTGGATATAGGAATTGTCATCTGCCCACCCTTTTCTTCCCTGTTTCTGAGCCCAATGTTATCTGCTTAGGGCAAAAATCCTAAGTGCGACATTTCCAAACATCCCACACTTTTCAAGGAAATTTGGAAGTGGATGCTCTGGGGGTTCCTAACCTCTGTTAGTGCAAGAGGATGAACAAGACAGAAAATGTGCAGGATTTGGACTTGGCAGGCCCTTTCCTGTTCTGTACTGTTCTGTGTCCTTCGACAGCCTTGTGCCTTCCAGTGTTCTGTGCTGTTTCTTCATCATGAAGATGTCTCCATTTTCCTCTGGGGAAATGAGGGCACTGAGTGTGGTGGGGTTGATGCAATGTGCCAGTGCATTCAGCTAGCGCATGAGCTGCAGAGAGCAGAAGTGGTGTTAGCAGGCAGCTCACAAAGGCTGCAGCCCCAAATCATTCATTTCAGAGCCCAGCATGTCTGGGAGGCTGTCTGCCCCACCACCCTGCTCTCTGTGGCCGCTTGCTGAAATACATGTACGGGGTCCTGACGATCCCTGTTGCATCTGATCCCCTAAACTGGCTGGCTTTAGGCCCAGCTGTAGTTACGTCCTGCTGTGTGCCCACAGCCCTTGAATCTTTCTGCCTGCCTGAATTTTTTTTTCCTGAAAACAAAACTCTTCTCTTACCTGTCCTCCCTTCTATATGAATAAGAAAACAGGGTCCATTAAACACACACACAAATAGAGCAACATTAGAGCATAGGTCAGTTAGCATAGGCAGATTTGTTCCTCCACCCCGTTTTTAACCTGAGTTTAAGCTCTGGATCTTTTCAGTACCTTGCACTGCCCCAGGCAGATGGCAGGGGAAAGGCTACCATTGCCCACCACTGCTTGTGGCTGCCTTTGTAGGGTGTTTGCTCCGGCATTTTGCCACTTCTTTGCTGCTGGAACCTCAGATGAGGGGGGCTTCTGACTGTTATACCATTTATATCTGGCTAGCAATAGAATCATAGAGTAGTTGGGTTGGAAGGGGCCAGAGGGCCGTCAGGTGCAACTCCCAGCTCAGTGCAGTTCAAATGGTTGTCCAGTTGCATCTTGAATTCCTCTAGTGTTCAAAAACCCACAACTTCCAAGGTAATTGTTTCCACTGTTGTACTGCACTAACAGGAAATTTTTCTTGATATCTAGCCAGAATCTGGCTTCCTGAAGCTTGAGCTTGTTATTTCATTTCTCACTCTGGATGATTGAGAAGAGATCCTGGCTTTCCTCTTTATGACAGTCTTTCAAGTACTTGTAGAGTGTTATTATGTCTCCCTTTAGTCTTCTCTTCTTGAGGTTAAGCATGCCAAGTTCTTGCCATCTCGCCTAATAGGGCTTTGTTTCCATTCCCTGGACCATCCTTGTTGCCCTCCTCTGAACCCTTTCCAACTTGTTTGCATCTCTTAAACTGTGGTGCCCAGAGCTGGACACAGTACGCCAGACCAGGCCTAACCAGTGCTGAGTAAAGGGGAACTAGCACTTTGTGTGATTTGGAAGTGAGACTTCTGTTAATGCAGCCTAAAAGAGCATTTGCCCTTTTTGCAGCCACATCACATTGTCGACTCAGATTCTACAATATTCACAAATTCTTTGTGATCTACAAAATTCCAAGATTGTTGTGATCTACAGAATTCCAAGATTGTTGTGATCTACAAAATTCCAAGATTGTTGTGATCTACAGAATTCCAAGATTGTTTTTGATCTACAAAATTCCAAGATTGTTGTGATCTACAGAATTCCAAGATTGTTGAGCCAAGTTTTCCCCATCTTGTCACAATGCATTTTGTTTCTTTTTCCTAGGTGCAGAACTTGGCATTCATCGCTATTGAATTTCATGTTCTTGTTTCAGCCCAGTGCTCCAGCCTATCTAGATCACCTTGAATCTTCTTTCTGTCTTTCAGGATATTAGCTATCCCCTGCCCCCCAGTTTTGTTTTGTCTGTAAATCTGATAATCATCCCCTGCATTTCCTCATCCAAATCATTAATAAAAATGTTGCACTGCACTGGGCCCAGGACTGAACCCTGCAGGATCCCACTTGTTACCTCTTCCCAATAGTGTGGTTTTAAGTTGTAGCAAAGTTGCTGTTTTTAAGAGACAGCGCTTGTTTGGATGATACTTGAACAGGCCAACATAGCCCTTCCTGTGAGGCTGGCACATGTGCATCTGGTAATAGCCAGTCCAGATTTGGCTGTAGGTGCATAAAATCATGAATCTGGAAGCATGTGCCTCCTGAATATGGCTCCATTCTAATTATGGCAGGAACTGGATATGGTTGTATGCATGTGTATAATTCTGTGTGTATAGGCAAAAATCAAACAGGTGGCTGGTGTGCAGATATGTTGGGTCTCCACTTTCCAGAAAAAAATCTGCAATCACCTGTGTACAGGTGTGCACAGCAGTATTCAGAGGGCAGGGGACAGCAGAGGGCAGGATGGTTCACTGGCTCCACACATCATCCTGGACCAGCCTGCTCAGGTATTGTCAAAACAGGCCCAAGGTGAAGAGCTGAAGGGTGCAGTGGAATTGCCGCTGTTGTCCTGTGTGGATTTAGTTGCCTAAACTGTCCTTTTCAAGAGCAATATCATCCATCTATGCTTATTCAATGGAAGCATAAATGGGAGTGTTGCTCCTTTTCTTCCCAGCAATGCAAATAAAGTGTAAAAGTGAAGTATTTTACTGCAGAAGTGACTGCTGGAGTAAACTCCCGCAGCTTGAAGGTGTAGACGTCAAAGCATCTTGAAGGGGAGTGAGTCTCAGGCTCAGTTTAAATGGGTTGTGGCATGAACGTATGACAGCCATGTTTTAATTTATTAATATTATTTTAGGGCATTGAGAAGAGCACCATTTGGAGTGTCTCTTCCCATAAGGTCCTACCAGTACTGGCAGAGGAGGCCTTTCCCCATGTTCCATTCCTGGGAAAGGAGGCCGTTTGGCATTTACAAGTCTCCTCTGTGATGGTGCACCAGCTCTGGACAGAGGGTGTGACTGGTGCCAACACATTCTGTTCCTTTTCTGCATCAAGTTAAATTGCCTTTATTGCCTAGAAATTTGAATAGGTTGTGTTTTTTTCTGTTGGTTGCATAGTCACACCTCTTAGTTTTCTTGTACTGATTTAATTTGTCTCATTGTAGTATGTTATCTGATTTTAAAATGCATGTAAGAGAGGCTTAGATATATTAAATAAATAGAACAACCAAATAAACCCAGAGGTGGGTCATCCCTGGCATTGGCATATCTTAGACTAACTATGCTGTTAAGAAAGTTTCTGCTTCATTTCCAGACTTCCTGGGGCACTTGTTTGACTATAGGCACAGTTCGTCCTTCTGATTTTTTACTTCTTGAGAAATCAACATCCTTTTCAACCTTGTATCTATATTTCTGATCTGCTCCCAAGCAAGAAAAGGGGGGCTTTGGAAAGGATGGATCCATGTGGAGCTGTTCTTTCCAAACTCTTTGCTTTGAATATGAGTACATGTAAATGAACATCACTATGTCAGTGAAACCACTCATCCCTTGCAGCTTTTCCCCTGAGCTTTATATGAGTCATCCATGGTAGTGAACCTGTTTTGGGGGTGGAGTCCAGTACCATAGATAGCTCCTATAAAGCTCCTGTGCCATTGAGAGCAGAAGCTGCCATGATTGAGGAGCTCAGCTGACATAGGAGTCACAATCCCAGCCCACACTGTTGTGTATGTGCACGCACTTTCTATCCAAGATTCTTAAGAAGGTGAAAAGGAAGCAGTGTACAGGGGGAGATGGCAGTCACTGTAGGAGAGAAAGACCTAGTTCACATGTAATAGTAGCAAGTTGTTGGTAATAAATTACCCATGACTTGCCGAGGCATGTGCTGGCCACGTGGCACCTGCCATTTTGAATATTCAACCTCCTATATTGGACTGATCAGAGGTTGCTACATGATGTCCAAATCCATTAACTATAGGTTAATTGTG